TGATTATTGAGCATGTATAATTAATGCACTGTAATTTCACTGTTGCTAAAAAAGCAGAGGATGGAGAGAATCGGAGAGAGAGAGAGACAGCCATGATTGTGGCTATCATGGCATGCCGTTTGCCTAAAACCTCTGAACAGGGGGATGGAGAGAATCGGAGAGAGAGAGAGAGAGAGACAGCCACGATTGTGGCTATCATGGCATGCCGTTTACCTATAACCTCTGAACAGAAGAGCTAGAAAATAAAGCATATTCAGCAATTCCGAGGGTCCAAGCGCCACCGCCCTCCTTATTTTCTCAGCCCGAAATGTTCAGCTCATTGTGAGGCCTGACCCATATGGCAGCGTCACGTGGAACGAGCCCAAAAGTGACTTTTGAGCTCGTTCTTTCCCTAGGGTGAACGAAGAAAGATGATAAAGGCAAAGGAAAACAGTATCTGAGACCAACGACGTTGGGAACTATACTATTAGCTTGGCCTACACAAGTACCACTAGTAATCTCACGTTCACCAGAGGGGAGGAGGAGAACAGGGTGGCTAGTGTGGACATCTCAGACCTTTAGCTTGGAAGCCTGCCCTGCCAAGACGTTTGAAAATAAATCATGGGGTTTGCGTTCTTCCGTGAACATCCGTTTTGCAGTGCTAATGTGCATTACCAAAGGCTTGCTGCCTGTGAAACATCAGAGATGAGCAGAGCGGCTGTTTTAGACTACAACTCCCAGAACACCCTGGGCTGGGGTTTGTAGTCCGGGGAAGGGACCTTGCCAATTTGTGGGAAGCATCCAAAACTTTGCTGAGGCAAGCAGGAAGCTGGGAGACACCTTTAGGACACATGAAAACAAATACAGGGGAACATTTCAAATAAAAAAAACAACTACAACACAATCCATGCAGAAGGGCAATTGCACAAGTACATTTTTGCCAGCTGTTCATGGCACCGCTGGTCATCATCTTATTGTGCAGCTGATTGGGCAGCACAGTGCACAAGGAAAGCCCATCGTCCACTTGGACAATTACTCTTATGAGCTTTGTACTCTGCAGTAGGATTTTGAGCAACACAGACACACACGCACACAAGCACATCTCCCCTCTAGAACATCCAGAAGTTAGGAGTGAGGTGGTTTTCTTGGGGATCCCTTAACAGAAAATGCAGCATCTCCCCTCTAGAACATCCAGAAGTTAGAAGGTGTGAGGTGGTTTTCTTGGGGATCCCTTAGCAGAAAATACAAGTGTGGGAAGTATTCCTCCTGGCTAGGAGGGTGGAATATCAAGAGTTTGGTCATAAAATACGCTAGGGCCATTTTACAGTGAATGTCCATACGGTTTCCTTCTTATTGGGACCACCTGGTTGGATGCACGCAATGTGGCTTTCATCTTGAAGCCGACAGCTTTTTGCTCCACTTCTAAATGAAGCATCATGCAACTTTAAACCAGGGAAGGCTACGGTTCAATGGCCAGGGAGTAATTCAGTTGCCTTCCAACTGTGAGTTGCTCTTTCAGTGATTGTGACTGTTGTCTGAAGAGGGTGATGTCCTTCTCAGACCTTGTGGCCCTGCTTGGTTTATTTCCCTCCCAAGGCTATAGGACAGGTGGGTCTGGAGATTTTATAGCTGTTCTTAACTGCGTGATCCCCCCCACTGCCACTACCTCCTCCTCCTCCTCTTTTTCCTAAGTTAATCTTGAAAGAATCTCCTGAATGAAAGATGAGCCCTCTTAATTTTTAATAGCAAAGCTAAATTTGCAAGAGGAAATCATTTCAGCGAGGAGAGCGACAATCGGAGCTGTTTCAGCCTCTGCTTTCCTCTTAGTCAAAGCTATGGAGACCCTGTCTCCATGGACTTACATGGGAAGAGAAATAATGGCTGGGTTTCTCCTCAAGAGCTGGGCAAAAGCACACCACCTGAAGGATGATGCAGCAGAGATGCTGCTCCCCATGGGTTCTTGATAGGATTCTTTTACAAGGGTTTATGTCTAGTTGAAGTCAACACTGATTCTTCAGGGGGAAAGGTGGAGTTCCCACTTTCCCCATATATGTCAGGCAGGTTGTCATTTCTCATCATCAGCAAGGACTTGCATCATCCAAAAGAAGGACAGAAAAGATGCTGATTTGCACAAAACTAGGTTTGAGCAGCATTCCAAAGTATCTCTCAATTTGTGGGGAAGCTAGTAGTCCCCGGCTGCTCTACAAGATCTGTCCATGGATGGGCAGCTTCAAGGTGCCTGGTTTCCTCTCTTGTGGCTCTTCAGCTTTAAAACAGAATCAGACCAGGCAGGCTTTGGAATGAAGGGCACCACCAAAAGGAGGATTGGCCCTCCAGGTGGTCTTCAAATGGAGGAACATCACCCAAAATTGAAGGCAAATGGCCACCGTACCCAACAGCTTTCAGATGGCATCTCCACAGAGTTGCAGAGGGGTGAAAGAGGGCTGAACCCTTGAAAGTAGCCATTGGCAGGCTACATACCTTTATGAATAATAAAGCCAAAGGAAGCAAAAAGAAAACTGAAGAGAAAGCAAAGCTTCAGACAAAGCTACCAGGTGAAAGGCATGGAGGATGCAGAAGGAACAGGAGGATATGAGAAGGAGATTGTGCAGTAATGAGCTGGCTGGACAGCTCAGTGAGTTAGGTGTCTGGTTAAGGAACCAGAGGTTCGAAGTTCAATTCCCTCACTGGGCTTCCCAGGAGAAGAGCCAGCCTGTGAAGCCTTGGGCAAGCTGCACAGTTCCAGGATTTGTCCAGAAGAAGGGAATGGTCAGCCACTTCTGAATATTCTCTATCTGGAAAAGCCTGGAAAGGGGGTTGCCATGAGTCAGAATTGACTGGATGGCACCTTATTGATGACAGAGGGCAGTTTAGACGCGAAACACAGAGAGATTCTTGTTAGAAAGAACACCAAGCAGTAGCCCAAGGCAGGACTTGGAGAAGTCTATAAAAGGCAAAGGCAGAAGGAAGCAAAAAGAGGGAGGGGACTGTGATCAGCTTGTTGGGAGAGATTCCTAAATGTTCAGTCATCATCATCATCTTAGAACTGCAGAGCTGGAAGAGACCCTATGGATCCTCGAGTCTGGCCTCGGTCCAGGGGGCCCCATGGGGACTCAAACTCCCAATCAGTGGCTCTGAAGCCAGAGACCTAAACCATGGAGCTACCCAGCAGTCCTCAAGGAAGTCTCTAAGGAGCAAGGTGGGGGTGGGGTGGGGCACTATTCAAGGCCAAGGAGGCAGTCATCCGGTTCTGTGAGGTCGGTTGAGCAGGAACCATGAGGACGACATGGAACAGCAACACAGAGGGAGGTAGAAGAGCTGAGATGGAGAAGAGGACCCACTGGCAGAGAAGTGGTTTGACTCCCGGGTGGCAGAATGGGAGCAAAGCATGACCACCCTGATGGGGGGGCCAGCAGTGTGGGAGAAGTGGCGACTCCTGGGCAGAAGGTCTCTAGCAACCGAGGGAAGAGGAGGAGGTTTCTCTGAGCGCGCGTTCCTGGAAGTGTCAAGAGAGATGACAGGGAGGCACAGCTTTGTGGGTGAGCGAGAGAGCTGTGTTTTCAGAGAGGACTGCAGGCAAGAGTCTGGGAAAGTGGGTTTGATGGAACAAAACCCACCAGAATCCTCCAGTTAGCCCTTGGTCATTCTGGCTGTGGTTTCTGATAGTCCCCCAAAATTACATATTTTTTTCTCTCCAAAGCTTTGGGGAGCAGGAAAGACGGCCAGCAATGAAGAAAGAGAGATCAGGAACAAGGAAAAGGTGGGCAGGCTGATTTGGGAAGCAAGTGCCAGAAAGCTGAGGAAGAGGACAGGAAGAGGTGGAGTGTGAGAAAGGGGAGAAGGTTCAGGCGCAGGCGGGGGCGAAAGAAGCTGCAACTTGTCAAGAGCAAGCAGCTATGTCACAGGAAGGTCTCAGGTGACTCGGGCAGGGTCCAAAGCTTGCCCCACAGGGTTGAAAGGGAGGCTGGAGATGGCCTCCACCCCCTCAAGTCCAGGCCCTGGGTGCGAGCCAGAGCTTGGTCAAGAGCAGCCGCAGGGCAGCAAGTCCACAACCGGACTAAGAGAAGGAAGGTCAGAAGCTGCAAACAGGCTCCAATAGCACACCCAGACCTAAGATGGGTTCTTCAGAACCAGTAATCCTAAACGAGGCACTCAACGGGGCTCAATCCAAGTGAAATGAAGTCACTCCTTTCTAGGAGGCTTTTGAAAGGATTTGGGGAAGATCAGGGCTGGTTCTTAGGGGTGGAAGAATATTTTGAAGACCTTCCTATCTGGGATGGAAAGAACTTGAGGTTATGAAACTGGGAATGCGAGAGAGACCGGAACTGACAGGTGCATCCATCTGAGCCCAGGGCTCTGAGTCCCTCTCTCTTTAAAATCTAGATTTGAACCCCTGTGTCTTAACTCTGCTGGTGGTGCTGAAAAGATTTTGCCAGGTTTTTCCTCCTCCTCTTTTAAACGTCTGGATGGCGGGCAGATCCAGCAGGGTGTTCTCCTTGTTAGGAACAGATGTGCCTCTTCAGGCACTCAGACACACCATGAGTTTCCATGGCAGTCTTTGTCCACTACCCTACCCACTACACCACACTTGGATCTAAGTCTATCTGTTTATTTGTTTTGTTACAGATATATCCCAACTTTGCATCCAAGCGTTCAAGGCAAGATACATGGTTTCCTCCTCTCCACTTTAGGCTCACAAAAATCTCATGAGATTGATCAGGCTGAGTGTGGGTGTCTGGACCGAGGTCACCCAGAGAGTTCTATAGGGCAGTGGGGATTTGAGCTCAAGGGGTCTGAATCCTAATCCAACACTCAAATCATGAGACCACACAAGGTCTCCCATGGAGGGTCAGCCTCTTATGGATGTGGCCTGAGACCTCCAACTAGCCCCGGGCCAGATGGGCTTTGGCTTTGCTCCAGAATGGACCATCTTAATCTTCTTGTGATGGTCATTGCTATCTTTCTCGGTGACATTAGCAGCTCCGTTTCTTCATTTTCTTCTTTCTCTCTTTTCTGTCCAGTTCGTCGCCCAACCCAACTGCCAGCAACTGCTCGCCACACTGTGGTACGACGGCTTTCCCGGATGGCGGCGGAAGCACTGGGCCGTCAAACTCTTGACCTGCATCACCATTGGACTGCTCTTTCCAGTGCTTTCCGTAGCTTACTTGATGGCGCCCAAGAGCAGGCTGGGACTGTTCATTAAAAAGCCATTTATCAAGTTCATCTGCCACACTGGCTCCTACCTTACCTTCCTCTTCATGCTCCTCCTCGCATCGCAACACATCGTCAGGACAGACCTCCACATGCAGGGACCTCCTCCCACCATTGTTGAATGGATGATCCTCCCCTGGGTTCTAGGTAAATCATTGGGTTCTACGTAAATCAATGAGTATATAATTGGTTAATGAGAGTTGCAAGCAAGCTAATTTTAATTGGGAAAGTGTTGCTCTGTTGGTGCTAATGTGCTTGGTACCTAAATCTCAGAGATAACTGTTGTTGTATTTTCTCTGGAGAAAGATATATTGTATTTTCCTAATTTTAAATTGGTTGGTTGGTTGGTTGGTTGGTTGGTTGGTTGGTCGGTCAGATGGATGGATCCTTCCTTTGTTCCTTCACTAGGGAGTGATCCAGGAGGGTTCTTGAGACTGCTAAGGTCGGTCGGTCGGTCGGTCGGTCGGTCAGATAGATGGATCCTTCCTTCACTAGGGAGTGATCCAGGAGGGCTCTTGAGACTGCTATCTCTAAGGACCAGAAGTTAGAAAAGCTTGGTTGAGTAGCAAAACATTCCAACCTAATAAGAAAGAAATCCAGTTGCCATGACTGGATGGCTGAGAATCTTCACAGATACCTCGTTCTTTGAACTACAGAAAAAGATTTCTTCCAAGATCTAACCACCACCAGCCAGCCAGAGTGTCATCTTGACCTCCAGAAATCGATTCTTCATGCTGTTGAAGTGGGAAAAAACAGCCTTCCCTCCCTCCATCCATCCAAACAAAAAGACATGAACAGCGATTCCATAGATCTCTGAAATTAACATGATCTGCGGTAATGCACCCATTCATTTCACTTGCGCTTGCACCCGATCACTTCCTTGTGCTCACCGTGTATTATTCCCAACTGGGAAATGGACATTATTCTGGGGGACTGGCAGTCTACACAGACCCACAAAAATGAAATGGACGGGAGTGTGCTTTACTCTTCAGCCAAATTTTCATGGGTGGATCTCTTGAGTGTGAAAAGGGATGTTTAGAAGAGTGCTCCTGGCTAGGAAGCTGTATGATCCAGCTGGTCAAAATTCCAGCCATCAGACACCAAGGAACATGATAGCCACAAAGTCTTTTAGAGCTAGCAAAGTGATGATAGCACAAAGCCAGATGAGAGTGAGGACATAGATTTACTCTGGAAGGGAGGTTGCATTCTCTCTTTATTGTAGCATCTCATCCTGATCACTAAGATGTATTGTAATAATATTATAATAAACTTTGAACTGTAGAGCTGGAAGGGATCCTATGGGTCAATGAGTCCAGCACTCACAAGGAGGCACAATGGGGAATCGAACTCCCAACCTCTGGCTCCACAGCCAGATACTTAAACCACTGAGCTATCCAGGAGGATGAGACCAGCAGTGTCTCATCTTGATCTCTCAACCCTTCTGCTTGCATTTTCTCCCTGTATGAATTCCACCAGATCTCAGAGGCTCAACGAGAAAATCAAACCTTGCCTTGGATGGATAGCGAGACGGGTGAAAGCAGGTTAAAACAAAACAAACTCCATTTGTCCACTGCAGCTTTTGTTTCTTCAGTTGCGTAGCTCACTCACAGCTCACTCACAAATCTGGTATGGGTGTTTTAAACTGAAATCTCCTAAGAGAGAGAATTAGTGCACATGTCTGCAAACCCACCCTTGATCCTTAACCCTTGCCTTCCTGCTTTTGAATTTATGTGGAGCAAAAACAGAGGTGTGATGGAGTTATTGATCAAACCGGGAAAGCAATGGAGTGATGGATCAAACTGGGAAAGCGATGGAGTTATTGCTCAAACTGAGAAGGTAAGAGGACTTTTTCTTGCAGATAAGTTCCTCCTTTTTAGAAAGCAGCACACATGAAATGCCTCCCCTCGGAAAAGGAAGACGGAACGGAAAGAACCCTCACGTTCAGTGCAGACAGTGCAACAGTAACTATAGTAACGATTCTAACAATGATTACTCACCATAAATGTAACATATGGAGTTCGCAACCAGCAGCTACTCCACTGATTTGCTTGGGCAGGATTTATAGTAAAAGAGAGAAATATTCCTGCACCCGTCTCAGCATAAGATTGATCTTTCAATTGCATTTTGAAAGAACTGGAAGCAGAATATTGAAATGAGGTCTGTAACTCTGTTGCTGTGAAGTCTGTCCCTGCTCTGAGTGCCAGCCAGCCAGCCCCGCCCTGCCCTTTTCCTGGGGTTTCCCATCCACCGTAGACTTCTTTTGATGGCATCCTCTGTCTGAAAGACTGCCCAGCTCTTGTCTGATTAGAAGACGTAGCACTGCAAAGAGAGAGGATGGGATTCAGGACCATGGAGAGCTCCTGTAAAGTTTAGATGAAAACCCTGGGCTGTCACACCACCGCTGTGATATCGGAGCCGCCTGCTTCCACGGTGAGGATTGTGGCTGAGTGAAAAAGAAACGGGGACCTGGATGCAGACGGCGAGTTACATCCTCTTCCCTGCTCATCAAAAAGTCCTTGTTCTTTGAGCCGCTGTGCCCTAGTTCTGCTACGACACTCAGCCTGTCACAAAAGTCAGAATGAGCTGGGGTCAAAAGAGTATCATCCCTATTCTCTGTGCCTGGCTAATCACTTAAGCAAAAGAGGTCTCTCTCTCTCCACTGAGAGTTAAACTGAAGCTTCTCCAGGCCGGATCTAATGATAGTCTCCTCTTTCATCTTTACATAAAAGATGGATTAAAAAGAAAAGTACGCTGGATACACGATTTGTCCAAAGACCTTCCTCAGTCTTCCATTCTGAAGCTGCAGCTCCATTCCTTGTTCTCAGGACTGTCCTTTTTTTAATTTGAAGCCATATTTCATGTCCTGTCATAGTCTGCAACTCTGAAGGCAGCGTCGTTGACTTTCTCGCAGGAAACAGCCTTGCCTTTTCCATTTTAATGACCTTGCCGTTCCATTTAATTTGCTCTGCTTTGGTGCCCGGCCATGTGCATGAAATCTTCCCAAGGGAAAAAAAAATCAATAACAACAAAACCCAAAACAAATGTTCTTTCCGCAGGTTTTATTTGGGGAGAAATCAAAGAGATGTGGGACGGAGGCTTCAACGAGTACGTGCACGATTGGTGGAACCTGATGGATTTTGCCATGAACTCCCTCTACTTGGCCACCATCTCCCTGAAAATCGTGGCCTACGTCAAGGTACCAGAAATGTGGGACTTGTGGGTGGAGTGGTTCCAAAGTCACCAGCTGTCTCCCTCTTTACTTTTCCTCTCTTGTTTCGGTTGTGGTAAGGAATCTGTGACCAGCAACTTCCGTTCCCCTTGGGCGCAACCAATACGGCCAGTGAAATAGAGCAGTGCTCCTCAAACTTGAGTCCCCAAATGTTCTTGGACTCAAACTCCCAGGAGTCTTCGCCACCGAGCTGTGCTGGCCAGGATTTCTGGGAGTTGTAGTCCAAGAATACCTGGAAACCCAAAGTTAGGAACCACTGCTCGAGAGTGATGAGGTTTGAAGTCCATCATTTGGAGAGCCAGGTGTGCTTTTGAGTTAGGAGTATGGTCTACAACCAAGACATTTAGTTGTTAACAGATCAGGGGCAAGGAGTGTTACTGCTCGAGAGTGATGAGGTTTGTAGTCCATCATTTGGAGAGCCAGGTGTGCCTTTGAGTTAGGAGTATGGTCCACAACAAAGGCAGTTAGTTGTTGACAGATCAGGGGCAAGGAGTTATCTGCTTCTTCCATTTCTGCCTTCATTTTCCAATACAATTTTCCCTCTTTTTTCACCATTTCTGCCTTCATTTTCCAATACAATTTCTCATCTTTTTTTCCTCTTCCTTCCTTCTGCCATGCTTTGGTGTTATATCTGTAGCAGTGATTTTCAGGGTATTTTGGACTACAAATCCTGTAGTTCTCCATTCCGGGAATTCTTCTTGACGGAGCTACAAATCCTGTAGTTCTCCATTCTGGGAATTCTTGACGGACAGACAATTTACAGGCATCTACAGTCATGCCTCGCTTAACTATTACCCTGTATAATGATGAATCCGCTCCACAACGATGTTTTTGCAATCACAATTGCGATCGCAAAACGATGTTTTAAATGGGTTTTTTTCGCTTTGTGAAGATCAGTTCCCTGCTTCGGGAACTGATTCTTCGTATTACGACGATCAAAACAGCTGATCGTCGGGGTTTCAAAATGGCTGCCGGCTGCTCAAAATGGCTCCCTGCTGTGTTTTTGGACGGATTCCTCACTCTACAGGCACCGAAAATGGCCGCCTCTATGGAGGATCTTCGATGGACAGTGAGTTTTTCAGCCCATTGGAACACATTGAATGGTTTTCAATGCATTTCAATGTGCTTTTTTATTTCACTTTACGACATTTTCACTCTACAGTGATTTCACTGGAACAAATTAATGTCGTTAAGCGAGGCACCACTGTAAATGTGACTGATCTGGGGAGAAGGCCTCTGCTGGGAAGCTTTGAGGCTGAACTAGGCTTTACTCCACTTGCTCAGAAAGAATTCTCCCATCTGTCACTGGGCAGGAACAGGAAGCTCAGGCAGAGCTAGGCCAAGTACAGAAGAATTATGGGGTTTGTAGTTTTAAAAAATCCAAACATTCCATTCCTAGAGCCAACCACAGTGCATCCTTCACCAGGTTTCAAGCCTGATTAAGACAGGAAGAGAAGGGATACACCTCAGTGTTAGGTCATTGGGTTTGCATGTTTCCAGGTAACACGATTCAGAGCAGTTTAAACAGGATCCGGCTAGATGCACAAACAGTTGCCCAGCACACAATAAAGCAGCATCCTAGATAAGTCCAAACCCTGATTTGCACCACAAGCAGATGTGACATTTACCATGGGTGAAACTAAAAAATAAATTAAGGATAGGGCACATTCCCCGGGCTATCTCTCAATGTGTAAACCCTAGTTTCAGGAAGTTTATATCACACTGAAATCATGTCTCCCAAGAAATAAGTCTTGCATACATACGAAATGGAAAAATGGAGGAATTCTCTTGTATTTCTGTTTTCATTGTATATGTGTCCCCCACCCACCCCCTTTTTTTCTTTTTTGCTTTTATTGATGGATGGTACAGGAGGGCAATGGAAAGCTGCTTTTACGCTTTCTTAAAATGAACCATGAAATAACACACGAAGGCAGCTGCAGAAAGAAAAATCTCAAACCATTCCAGGCAGTGTTTATTAGGGAATTCTTCATCTCTCTTGAGCGTGGGGTTCTCTTTGTTGGCATTCTGAATCAAGAATCAAACCCAGTTCTGCCAGAATGTTCTGACAATGTCTTTTTGTGGGGCAGAGCGTGATGTGGATGGATACTGTGAACGATTCTCCCAAAGGGAGTCCAGAGTTCAGACTGCAAAAAATACGGCTCTCTGTTGGTTCCCGTCTCCGTCCTTTGGTGATCTAAAAATAACCGTATGCTCCCATGGCTTTCTCAAACAAAATCTCCTGCCTTTTGTATTCATGAGGTTTCGGAGGATGTTTTTACCTTCAATATTATACTTGAACCCTTCCCCCATTTAAAAATATTGGCATGCTTAAAAGCAGAGCTTATGCTTTGGATGGAAGAGGTATCAGGTTCAATACTGGCATCTCCAGTTAAAGAGATCCAGTAGCAAGTGATGGAAAAGATCTCCCTCTGCCTGAGATCCAGGAGAGCCACTCTCAGCCAGAGCAGGCATTTCATGGCCAGATGGGCAAACCTGGACTGGTAAAGAGGCAATGCCCTTTATTCCTTCCTCCTCCAATGCCACAAAGGGGAAACTAAGGGAAGTTCCTTAAGCCCCCAGCACGCTTGTAAGTTTAGGTGCTATTTTTGGAGAGCGTCCCATCTCATGTATCCACCACTGTGACTTGTACAGTCACTAGGTCTCAGGGTTGCTGGCTGAAGTCTTAGGGAACTCTGGTGCTTTTGGAGGTCTCCAGGCAGGGAGAGAAATCTCAGCTCAAGCACGACCAGAGATGACCTGTTTTATGTGGGAGAGGTGCTTGAAAGCTAGGGTAGGGATCTGCCTCATTTCTCGGCTGGTCCCATGGTGGCCTGGTTCATGCATGGACCCTCATTTCTCGGCTGGTCCCATGGTGGCCCATGGTTCACGCATGCATGTTGCTCCGTCACCATCAGCCCAAGTCCATGCATCATTGGCGTTCTCTCTAATCCAGTGGTTCACAGCCTTGGGTCCCCAGATAGTCCTGGGCTAATAACTCCAGAACACTTCACCCCTAGCTGTGCTGGCCAGGATGTCTGGGAGTTGTAGTCCAAGAACATCTGTAGTCCAAGAACCACCACCCCACTTTCCTTTCTCCTCTTCCATGGCTGAACAGAACTCAGGCCTCTTCTGGCACGTGGTTCCCGGTAGGGGACTCTCCTTTGCTTGCTTCATCTGTAGGATACGACAAGGGCCGACATCACAAGTAGCCACCTCTGATAGTTTAGGGCACAGGGGACGAGATGCTGCTTTCCTGGCCATGCTGTTCACAATATGACAGGGACGACCCAGAGAACTGACCAGACCATGCCCTTAGTCTTCTCTGTGAGCTTTTGAGGGGATACAGATGAGCAAACCATGAGTATTTGTCCTTATTCTCTTATATATATGGTTTTTCGCTAGGAGTCTTTGATGGTGAGCTCTTGTGAATTCCAGCGCTAATGCTGGATGCCGGCCTCGGGCAATCTTCTTCCTAAAAGCCTCTCGTCATTTTTCGTGCTGTTTTTTTCCTGCTGGCGCAGAGGCAAGAAACCGGGAGCCTGAATATTTTACAGAGAGGCAGAAAAGTGGCTTCAGGATAGGAAGGCAATGATATCAGTACTTCTGGCTGCAAAAGGGCTCTTCTGGAGGCCACTTCGAAGCCAAGAGGGTGCACGCGGCGGAGGGTGTTCTTCTTGAACTGAAAGCTGGAGAAGTGGCTGCCACCAGAACATTTAGGATGGTGGTTTCTTTTCATTGTTCCTTGAGCGGGATGAGGATTCATCCCCTGGAATGTCAGAACCATGCAGGATGGAAAAGGAAGCATATTAGCCCTTGAATGCACCTCTTCCAACCATTCACAGATGCCAGACCAAGATGACTCACTCAATTCCTTGTTTTGCCATTTAAGCTGTCTTGAGAAAAAGAGACATCTTATTGAGGGTTTTCCCAGTCTCGTGAGATCCTTCAAATCAAAAGAAAACTATAAGAAGAGGGGCTTCTTTGCCCCCTGAAAATTTCATGTAATTTGCACAAAAAGCTTCTGTAACTTGCACAAAAAGTCTGCACAAAAATCTGAGTCCTTTGCCTTTAAAAAGCAAGGGTCGCACACACATGCAGAGCAAGCACAGAATGACTGGTGGATTCTTTAAAAAGATTGAAACAACCCATCTGATGCTTCTAGTCTTTAAAAGTCCACAGAACAATTTTACTGTGTATTTAATTCTGTTCTTTTTTAGTACTGTAACACCTTGGGTCACTTTATCAGGAGAAAGGTAGACTATGAATAGGACAAATAAATACAGAGATAACACATCCTTGAGTATCTGCAAAATGTGATGCCAGTGCAGCCAGCCAGTCCTCATATGCCGTATAGACTATGAATAGGACAAATAAATACAGAAATAACACATCCTTGAGTATGTGCAAAATGCAATGCCAGTGCAGCCAGCCAGTCCTCTTATGCCGTATTTTCCGTGTATAAGACTATACTTTTGTCTAAAATCTTTAGACTAAAAAATGAGGGTCGTCTTATACACAGAAGTAAGTTGAGGAGAGAACAAACACAAGTGGAGGGGAAAGCAGGGATCACAGTGATCCTGCAGTGCTATGATCCCTTCCCCTCTACACTTGCTAAGCCCCACTTAGATTTCTTAATTTGGGGTTAAAAAAGGGGGGGGGGGTCTTATACATGGGGGCGTCTTATACATGGAAAAATACTTAGAAATGAGAGTGTTTTTTTCGGTGGAAGGACTCCTTATTCAGAACCCCACTTTGACGGGGGGCGTCTTATACATGGAAAAATACTGAGAAATGGACATTTTTTTGGTGGAAGGACTCCTTATTCAGAACCCCATTTTGATGCGCCCGCTTTGACATTCACCAGAGTTTGGACATCTGCCCTGAGAGATCTGGCTTGAGATGAACAGAGCCACAACCCAGGGACACCAGAAGGATGTCTCATTGATTTTATTTTCTTTTTTTATGGGCCAATTAGAGTTTGCCCTTGAAATGGCCAAAGTGGGGGGGGAGAGAGAGAGAGAATTATAGATCTAGGCAATCAAAAGACGACTTTGTCAAGTGTTCCTCTTTTCTGTGGAATGAAACATTGGCCACGAGCCACCAGCTTGGGGGAAGTTTGTCCCAAACAAACCCCCATCAAAAACAAAGCCATATTTGGGATTCCATTTTTTACAATTTCCTAAGCACACATTCCGTTCTGCGCTCCCAACAGCCATTTGAGGACTATGGGAAGAGTTAAAGCCAACATTTCTAAGAGCCTTCCACAAATCAAGTGAACCGAGTCTGTCTCTGTGATGTCTGCAGCCATAGAGAACATTTTGAAATGTCAGGAGCAATCAGAAGTTCTGTATTAGTGCATTCGGACAGAATTTCTGCTTTTCTGTAGTTGGAGGATAATCTTTATTTAAAAAAAAACACCTTGCAAAATCCTTGTTTTCCATCACTTGAGTTCACTTTGCAGTGGCCAAGGTCTTGTTGCCTAATGATCCATGGATGAGTATGATGGAATTACTGGCAGGGCCAAATTGTTGATTGTTAAAGAGTTCCTGCTTTGATCCCAGTGCTCACACTGCTCGAGTGTGATAAAAACTGCTTGCAGGTGAGCCATGCAAGCCCTGGATTCAAAGCAGGAGCTCTTTAATTCCTGGCAATCTCCTCTTGCTGGTGACATCATCGCCCTTACACTTGCATAATTTATGCAAGAGGATTTTGCGCAGTGCTTTTCAAAAATGAGGGGAATTCTTCTTTCCTTTTTTTCTCCCCCAAGTGGGGGGGGGACCAAACCCTGAGGCATTCCAGTTTGAAACATTCCCTGGGGATGTTGGAATTTGCAATCCAATAAAGCCAAAGGAAACCAAGTTGGGGGAGCCTGTTTAAAGCAAACGTATCTGCCTCAATGAAACAGGGTCCCCCCTCCCCCATGCTCCTAGATTTTCTTTCTTGGATCTTTTGAAATTCAAACTTTCAGTGGGAAAAATGGAAAGATGGAAAAGCACACCATTTACCCACAATTTCAGCCAGTATCCCAACTCTTTGCAATGCCAGTCAACACTTAGATAAATCCTCTTAACTCAGGCGGTCTCTGCTGGAATTCAGCTGGATTTAGGGTTCTGTTATTACTGACTTTTTTTTACAGCCAGGGGTGGAGAGATGTCGGATTTTCTGCCTTGCCCAGAATCCCAGATTTGGGGTACCATAAACTTTGACTCGAGGGACAGACAAGGGGTATTTGATGGGCTGCGAAATATCTTTGACTGGTCCAGAACATAGCCTCCATGGTGTATAAAAAGGGCTTATTTAATCAGAGCTAGAGAGTGGTCAGTTGGTTTGGTTGAAGAACATGGCGCTCATAACTGAGTTTTAAATACTTCTCAAAGGAAGTTCACCCCCCTCTCCAAACAAGGGCCATTTTGATGACCCTTCGAATAGCATTTTCCTCAGCAGTGCCAACAAGAAAGTGTAGAAAAAGTTTCCCTTCAGACAGTATTCAGCCCACATCGCTGACTTCTTCTGCCCAATGATAGAATGAAGAATTTTGGAAGACCGTTTCCACTGACATTTTTTCCCACCAGAAATTCAGTGGCGCTTTGGGAATGGGCAACCAAATTGGAAATTGTATTGGCCAGAATTTGTCAGCATGTTTGTTGTTAAAAAAAACAACAACAGAGAATGTATCATATGTAGGGCAGGCTTGGGAGGGGGAAAATATGTGACCCTCCAGATGCTGTGCAACTGAAACTTACACCAGCCCTCGGTCGCATAGCCAAAGGAGAAAGATGGGAGCATTAGTCACACAACTTCCAGCGGGCCACACTTCCTCCAACTCTGCCCCACAAATAGCGGTGCATGGGTGAGAAAGCCACATTTATCAAGGGAGATGAAAAGGAAGGGGCAAACCTCCCCTTGGCCCAAATAGATGGGACCCCTTCTGCTTAACATAATTTGTGGCACGCCAACGGATGCTCAGGTGTGCCTGCCTGCACGTGCACGCGCCCGGGGTCTGTGTCAAATGCTGTGAGCGATGAAATGACGACCATCTTTGCCGTTGACTGCCTGCAACCATTCACGTCTGTTCCTTTCCACCCCTCCCCTGTTATTTCTTGCAGTACAATGGTTCCCGGCCGAGGGAGGAATGGGAAATGTGGCACCCCACCCTCATTGCAGAAGCCCTGTTTGCAATATCAAACATTTTAAGCTCCTTGCGTCTCATCTCCCTGTTTACAGCAAATTCTCACCTGGGACCCCTCCAGATCTCTCTGGGACGCATGCTGCTAGACATCCTCAAGTTCCTATTTATTTACTGCCTGGTGCTGCTAGCTTTCGCCAACGGACTCAACCAGCTTTATTTCTATTATGAAACCAGTGCCTCTGAAGAGCCCAACAATTGCAAAGGGATCCGATGCGAGAAGCAGAACAACGCCTTCTCCACGTAAGGCAATCCGTCTCTTCTGTCCTTGTCTTCTCTGTCTCTCTCTTTTTCCCTTTCCCGACCTTTGCATGTTGGCCGTCGTTGCCATGAACAGCCCTGTATTTCTTCCTCGGCCGGCGTCAGCCTGGATGTCAGGATTATGTAAGCCTGGCTCATGAGTGATCTCAGGCAGACCTGCTGCAACATGACAAAGTAGGGCTCGAAGCTTCGAGCAGACAGTCAGGAGGGTGTTGGGACTATCCATCTCTGGAACTCTAATGCCTGCCATTAGTATTTGCCAATCATAAGAAGAAGAAGAAAAAACCCACAAAGGCTCAGAGAATCTCAACAGGCTGATTCAGAGAGTCCGTATCTGCCCGAGTGTTTAGAGTCCAGCTCCAGCCAAATTTGTAAAACAATTGTGTCATTGTTCATGAGAACACTCTTAAGATTCCTACAGGGAGAAGTCGGAGAGAGCAAAAGAAGGGAGGGTCGGACAAATTGCCCAAATTTGTTGCTCATAAAAAATCGGGACACTGTCTTTGACAGGATGAAAGGGTTGCTTAGCAAGGATTCTCGTCCTTTGAACATGCGAACATCTCATGTTCTAATGAGACAACAGACCCTTCAAGTCTTGCCTGGTCGAGACCAGAACTCAACTTATCCTAACCTCCTGTTTCCAAAAGTTGAAAGAAAGATAGAGGATTTTTTTTTCTCTTGATGCAAAAATTAGTGTCTATCCACAGGGCAGACATCTGAAGAAACACCATCATATCCTTGTTGCTATTAAGGAGGGGATTTTCAGATTTGCTGGGGCTATAAATCCCATCGTTCTCCATTCTGGGAGAGCGATCTGACAAACAGGCACCTTACAGACACTCAAATGGGGCTCGCCTGGGAGAAAGGCCTTTTCACGTTCCCGGGGGTTACAACAGCTGAAGTCCGATAAACCAGTCCAGGGTCAAGAATACCAAGAATGCAAAGCCAATGTCCATAAATCAACTCACAGAAGGAAGTCCAGTGTCAAAGTCCAGAGTCCGATACACAGCGTAGTCCAGAGTCAGAGTCCGAAGTCCAATACCGGCGTAGTTCAAGGGCAGAGTTCAGAGTTCAGGGTCAGGAACACAATTTTCAAGGGCAGAGTCCAGAGTCAGGAACAAAATACAAGAAACCAAGGTTTTGACTCCTTGCTTCCACAGAATTTCTGGCTTCACTGGGAGCTGTTTTATAGTAAAACAGCTCCTTGAGCTGCTGGAAAGCTTTCTATCCTGTTAATACTCAGGACTAGATGCACGTAGGTTTCTGTGAACAGCCTTTGAGCGATCCTCTGATCTTCTGGTCCTAAGTCTTTCCTGGAGCCTGCCTCGAAGCCTGTCTGCTATGGAAGGAGAATCTGGAGGCGGTTCAGGTGTTTCTGATCTCTCCACATTCTCTTCAGCCACAGTTAACCCTTCGGGTTCCAGGTCTTCGGAAGCACTCATGACAGGCCTCAACTGGGAGGCTTTGGGGCTCAGCTCGGCCTAGCTCTGCCCAGTCTTCCTGTCCCTGCCCCAGGGCTAGCTGGGAGCTTTCTTTCTGAACAGGAAGCTAGGCAGAGCTAGGCCTAGCTTATTCTCAGAACAAGGATCAACATTGAGCCAGCTACCAGAGACCTGGATTGAACTCAGGTTGTGAGCAGAATCTTCGCTGCAGTACTGCATTTTAACTACAGTGGTGCCTCGCTTAACGTCGTTAATTCGTTCCAGCGAAATTGCTGTAGATCAAAAATGTTGCAAAGCGAAAATAAAAAACCCATTGAAACACATTAAAACCTGGTTAATGCGTTCCAATGGGCTCAAAACTCACCATCCAGCAAAGATCCTCCATACGGCAGTCATTTTCAGCGCCTGTATAGCAAGGAATCCGTCCCTAAGCACATTTTGAGCAACCGGCGCCCATTTTGAAAACCTGACGATCAGCTGTTTTGATTGTCATAATGCAAAGAATCGGTTCCCGAAATAGGGAACCGATCATTGCGCAGCAAAATTCCCCCATTTAAAACATCATTTTGCGATCACAAAAACATCATCATGAAGCGGATTCATCGTAATGCGGGGTAATCGTTAAGCGGGGCATGACTGTACTGCCACCAATAGGGTTCTGACACACTTCTGTTTTATTTCATTCATTCAAGGAGGGGTGTAATTCCAGAGCACATGGTAGCTGCAGCCTGGAGCTACCCCAAAGTCTGGAAGGTTTATTTTGAGAACTATAGCACCCAGAATTCCTTGAGTAGCAAAGTCAGTGTCTGTCCTGGAGAATTCTCCCCCAAAATAGGGAACTTCTCAAATCTCTGGACATGCTATCATGTAACCATTTGGCTTGAAGCCTCACTTTTCAGGGCTGCTATTTGAGGAAAGGAAGCAATTATTTTGGAAAGATTAAAGATGGGGGTGGGGGAGAGAAATACAGCGGAAATATATAGGGGACTATTTGACAGGAGCGACAACCGGTGGCTTGATGGTGGCCTTTCAACACGCAGGCCAGCAAAAAGCCATGAAACAAAACACAGGGGGGAGGAAATGACATCAAGTTCAGGAGCGTGAAGGGGCTTGGGTTCTAGGAAGAGAGCGTCATGGGAAACAAAGGAGCTGCGGGGGTTGTTACCATTAAAGCGGTCGTCTCTTTACCAGCAAGAAGGAACGCCAGGCAATTGTACTTTCCTTGGCGCCTGGCCTCAGATGTCTGCTCTCCCTCATCTTAAAAGCCGAAGCAGTCATTAAGAACACTCAGGTGCCAAGCGTCATTATGCTCTTTGAACAGACGCTCAGCGGGAGCAACTTGCTAAGAACCTAAGAACGCGCAACCTGCAAAACAAGGAATTATGTCTGCACACCGGTGTGAAGGAGCGGCCTTGGAACAGATTAGCCATCGGCCCACGATGCCATTTTGCTCCATTTAAGTCATCCTTCACAGAAGGGCCTCGGTACAGGGTGGTTTGCCTCAGATCCTCTCATTCTGCTGAGGAGCAGGTCCATAAGACAGTCAATAGATCTCGTGGAAGAGACCACACAGCGACCGACTGTTGTTCTTCTGGGGAGAGCTGGCTGAAAAGAGGATGCTGTCATCAGGCTATTTCTCATTGCTTTCCAAGGATGGGCTTAATCACTTCAGAAACGAGCGAGCTTTTCCGAGGGCTCCGAGACGAGGGGGAGGTCAGTCTGCGAAAAATCCGAGTGTTATGGTTTAGCCTCCCTGTTCTTGGCAAGTTGTCTCTTGCTTTGATGGTCCATCTGGAAAATATATTTGCAAAGGAGGGCGGACCGCAGCATTAAACACAGCAGGGAAATGGAATAACGCGTGGAAACAGTGGTGTCCCCATCCGATCCCCTCCGTCGCTGGCCATCCACAACGTGAAGGACCACTTCACCCAACACTGTAGCTGGATGTTTGCCTAGTCTTGTGGTATCAAACCATAGGGTCAAATATGGAGGAAAGAGGGGGCTCAAAATGGCCCCTTACTGTTTTCAGAGGGGGCAAACACTGGGTGTCCAGTCTCTAATCCTGACAGTGGACAGAGCTGGCTCCATGACCGTCAAGGATGGAGAATCCAGACCTGGGTACAATTTCCTTGTCTAAATACAACTCCCAGAATCCCTTAGCCACCACAACCATTGGGCATGTTGGACAAAGGATTATGGGAGCTGTAGTTTTAAAAAAAGGAGCCTTTCTGTGATCCGACATAACGTTCTTTTTTTAAAAAAAATATTGTAGCATGGAATCTTAGTTCAATAACGAAGTTCATATATACTACAGAGTGTGCCCTTCATGAGGGCTCTAACTGTAGTTCTTTGGGCTGCAAAATATTTCTCTGCTGTCATTCCTGGATCTAGGAAGGAAGGGGCTGTTTTTAACCGATCTCTCTGTGTGTGTGTGTGTGTGTGTGTGTGTGTGTGTGTGTGTGTGTGTGTGTGTGTGTGTGTGTGTGTGTGTGTGAGAGAGAGAGAGAGAGAGAGAGAGAGAGAGAAGTGTGGCTGAAAATGGGAACAGATTTTCTTCCTCAACCCCACAGAAGCAGACCTCTATATATATAAAATAACCCTGCTGGAAGTCTAGAAGGACAGTTCGTTCCTGTGCTTGGTTAAGTACATGTTGAGTTAGACTTCGCACTGCACTGCGAACCCATGGAACTATACTCGTGTTGGCTGAATTTACAGCAGCTTCTCTGATTTTGTATCCTCTGTTTACGATGCTAACGAATGCTGGAGGCCAAACGAGAACGTGAGATAGGTCAGTGACAGCTTTGATCATCTGGATCAAATCTCTTCCGTGCGGGTGAGGAGCTTTGGATGGGATCAGAGGTGGTGTGGACTTCCCTTCTCCAGGCTGTTTTCTTCTTCTTATGCTGCTGCTGCTGGATCTAAACCACCCTGTTGCCTGAAGCTGCTTTCAGCCTTCAGAGGAAAATTACAGAGGCTAGAAAGCCGTGGAGGCGGCAGGATGACCTGGAAACAGTGCAAGTTAACCTCTTCCAACCCACCCCAACATTGATGCCCTGATAAAGTCCCTTTTGCTTTGAGAAACAAAATATCGGGAAGATCTCCATGTAGAACTTGCTTCCATCCCGTTATTTATTTATTTATTATTTGACTATTGCTTTGTGTGACACTGAAAAGATCTAGAGGAGAAAAGGGAAAGCTGGCAACATTCAGCCCTTTCCCAGGGCACTAAGAAGAAAGAAAGAAAATAATAATCATACATCACCTCTGCTGAGGATGATCCAATTCCAAACGGACGGATTCATACTCATGGCCAGTCTGTTTGAGATTAGACCCAAAGGGTATATCTGAGGACAATGGTTTTAACGCATGAACCCATGCTAGCTTTGAGGTGGAAAGATTTTCTTCTAGGGAGCTTAGAGGGCTGGATGTGGAGAAGGAAAGATTTTTTAAAAAATTATTATGGTCCGGTTGCCACAGTTCAGGAAGACCTAAATGTAGCTAGACAGAAGTCAAAATGCACTCTCCTGGTTCTAAATTTTACTTAATTTGTAGGAAAGTTAACTTCTTCATCATGCATGCTACTGAGTTTGTAGGAATGCAGAGGTGCTACTTCAAAAAATCAAGCCTATCCATGTCATTTTGTGGATGACATTTCTTCTACGGCTACATAGGACCCGTTGAATGACTGATTATCCTTCTCTCTCTCCTCTCCTCTCTCTCAGCTCCCCTCTTTCCTCTCCTCTCCTCATCTCTCTATCTAGACTGCACTGGATCACTCAAATGACCTATTTGTCTAGTTGGCTATCCATGAGGCAAGAGGGTGTTGTGGTTAGAAAGCTGGAGTGGGGAACTTGGGCGATCCAGGTTTGAGTCACCACTGAGACATGGAACTCATTAGACCTCCTTGGATCTTGTGCTCCCTGCCAGCATAGACTACTCCACAGGGTCGTTGCGAGGAGAAAATGGGAGAGAACCATGTAGACCACCTTCAGCAATATATAAAACTAACTGTTAAATGGGCAAATAAATGACCATATCTATCAAGTTCTACCATGTTTCGCCGAAAATAAGACAGGGTCTTATATTAATTTTTGCTCCAAAATGCATTAGGGCTTATTTTCAGGGGATATTTTATTTTATTTTCATGGACAACCATCTACATTTATTCAACTGCAGTCACGTCATCATCTTCTGGTTGCTGCACAAGGGGGGAGGGTGGGGTTTCACTTAACTGGGGCTTATTCGGGGGGTAGGGCTTATATGATAAGCATCCTGAAAAAGCCTACTAGGGCTTATTTTCAGGTTAGGTCTTCTTTTCGGGAAAACAGGGTACATCAGAGCTAACCAACGAAGAATTGATGGATGGATGGATGGATGGATGGATGGATGGATGGATGGATGGATGGATGGATGGATGGATGGATGGATGGATGGATGGATGGATGGATGGATGGATGGATGGATTAATGAATGTCTTTGTTTGCTCTGCAGGCTCTTTGAAACTCTACAGTCTCTCTTCTGGTCTGTGTTTGGTCTGTTGAATCTCTACGTCACTAACGTGAAAGCCAGACATGAATTTACAGAATTCGTGGGGGCCACCATGTTCGGCACATACAATGTCATCTCCCTTGTGGTCTTACTAAACATGCTTATTGCAATGATGAACAACTCCTACCAGCTTATTGCAGTAAGTGAATTGGCTGTGTTTCTGGTTTCCACTGTGTGCTTGCCTTCTCTCTCTCTCTGTCTCTCTGTCTCTGTGTGTGTGTGTCTTGGTGACAACACAGAAGGTCAGCCAGTCAGCCAAGCACACACCTGTCTTCTCCTACCATCCTGAAGAATGATGGTCTTTCTAATCCACCCCTTCCTTTGTATTTTCCCTCCAATGCCTTGTTCCATGCTTTCTCATATGCTATCGGTTTCTAAACACCCTTTCAGTGGTTGTGTACTTGAACAACCTGTATTGTGAAGTGGCAGAGGCTGTGACCTTTAAGTCCCTTACTCGATTATTTTCTTTGTTGTGAAGGATAAACAAAAGGAAGGAGCATCTCAATGCCTTGCATGTCTAAACAACGTCATTGGCTGCTGTACGATGTCCTGACAGCCACCAACTCAGATGGCTTTAAAAGGAAATCATCCTGGGGGAATAAGGCCATTTAGAAGGGAATAGGATGTGCTAATTTGTGGCTGCATGAGTTGAGGGTGAATTCCAGATCCAGCTAAGCTATTCTGCTGCCTGAGATGAACCACCTTATAAAGCTGCCCTCTTCCCTGTTAAACCCTTAGCCCATCTAGAGCTGCGTTGTCAACATTCACTGGATGTGGCTCTTCAGGGATTCAATCACGACGCCTCTTTTCCTGCTGCTTCCCAGATTTCTCCGATTAATGTCTTTCCCAAGAAGTCTGCCAGAGCACAGCAGGGAGCTTGAAGCAGCAAAGTACAAATCTATGGATTTCTTAGGATACATCCATAATGGTTAAGCGGTAGCCAACGGAGATAACGGGCTTGTGCAGGCACATCTAGAGAATTATAAGCATCCCGTCTTCCCCTCTGAAAAAGGATCATTTAAAAATCCCTGTATTGTTTCCTAGCTTTCCTTTCTGAGTTCTTTACCTCTCATTTCATCCACTGGCACTAGGGCTGACTCAAGACATTTGGCTCCCCAAGGCAAAGAACTGGCGGTTGCTCTCTCTCATTCCATGTACAAATGGACTGGGACCTTTATCTTCAACAATGGAAGAGGGGTAGGATCATTCTACCTTCTCGAAGCAGGAAGCTAGTTTAGGTATACAGGATAAGCCAATCCTGCTGCCACCCCCCCAAGCCACCTGAGATACCCTCCTCGGTCTGCCCAACGTTAGGGCTGAACCCAAATGGCAGGATACGGCTTGGGTTCATGAAGACTGTTCCTTAACCTTCATACAAACTGCTGGATAGCTTACTGCTTTAGATCTCTGGCTACAGCCCCAGAGGTTGGGAGTTCGATTCACCCATGGTGCCTCCTTGGCAGGGGCTAGACTAGATGACCCATAGGGGCCCTTCCAGCTCGGCCGTTCTAAGACTATATTATATATTGTAGTACAATGGCGATAGAGAGGAGGTGAACAAAAAACACAGCATGACACAGCAAACATTCCTTAAAGGGGAAAGGCCGGTTTTCTGAAGTGCAAGAGAAAGAAAGAGAGAGAGAGAGAGATTCTCCCCTTTTTGAACAAAGCTATTTTAAACCTCAGTAGCCGTCTACTCTCCTTGGGGGACCTTCAGGCAACACCATGATTGATCGTCTCAATGCACTGAGCTGCACTGCCCCCCCTCCACCTTTTCTTGCTTCAAAATATATAACCGTCATTCAATCACAGATATCAGGGCCTCCCATTAGAAGAGAAAGGGGGGACGATACCCACTTCTGGGCTTGAGCGTGGAACCTGGCCCTGGAGGCGGTGGAACTGAGCCTGGGAGCTGAAATCAGGGTATGCCATTCCACCATTGTCCACCCCAGAAGGTTGCTCCGGGGGCTTTCTGCCCAGATGAACTTCCTGGTTTCAATACCTTTTAAGACACAGTGGAGGTAGCTTTGCTGGATGGGTGCAGGTGACATACACCCCGATGACCCAAAAAAAGCAGGGCAGGCTCCACCGTGTTCTGGAAGCCAACAGACGTTGTGCATGCGATGGTGCAGAATGGCGTGTCTTGTTTTGCCAGCTTCCACCTAATTATATCTCACCTGTGGGCTCGAAACAAGAATTTTCATATGCATGAGCTGTTTGCTGAGCTTCCAGGTGGAGACAGACGGCACATGCTGTATTTTGCTTGAGCCATGGGAAGAAGTAAATCTGGGATAACACACATACTTTCTCTCGCATGCAAACATGCAGACATAAACTGGAAGAAGAAGGTAGACGTTAACTGCAGTGTACCCAACCTAGAGGTCTGGCACATTTATACAAGAACCAGAGAAAATAGATGGAGGGAGAGAGAGAGAGAGATGGAGATGGATGGTAAAATGATTAAACTTTCCTTTCCATCCTAAATGAAATGCATATAAGATTTCTTATTTAGTTATTTAAAAAATGGTGTTTCACTGATGGCTTCTGCCATGTTGGGATATAAATCTATGCACATTCTTCAGTAGTCTTCTCCTTGCTTGTGAGACAGCTGAAATGTTATCCGTCCGTCTCAACACCAGCTTGTATTTTTGTGAGAATGACTTTTACGTGGGTTGCAAATTATGCCTGTTGTGCAAAGTGAGCCAAGTGTAATAGCTGTTGTCTTCTTGCATCCGCTTTTAAACATGAGAAGTCTTGAATGGGTTGCTTGTATCTCATGGAGCCATTGGCTGGTCCCTCCTTGCTGGGTGTGTCCTTTGTCAGGGAAAAGATACTTGTGTTGCATAGAGATTTTTGGGGGAATGGAGAGGAGGAAATCCTGGTTCTTTTATCCTTGTACTCGGGGTGAGAAATTTGACAAACGTTCGTCGGACTTCCCACCTCATTGAGAATATTTATTTTACTTCCTTCTTCAAAATATTTCCCTTGCCTTTCTCCCAAGGAGGCTTACATCACTACATCAATATTTAAAGATAACATAGAGTATACAAAGGTGGCTTACATTTGAAGCTAAACACAACAAATATACAAATGCTAAAAAGGAGCAAACGAATACTGCACTAAAGTGTGGTCAATAAGAGCAGCACCAAAAAACACATTCAAAGTAGTATGGCACAGTGGTCTATTTAAGAACCCCATTGAGGCAGCCGGTTATTAAGCTCGTCTGAAGAGGAAGCTCATTTTGCCTGAGTTTCTGGTGGAAGGGAGTTCCAAAGTCTGGGAGCAGCCACAGAGAAGGCTCTTGTGTCTCCACCAGATGCACCTGTGAAGGTGGCAGGACCAGGGAAAAGGTCTCTCCAAATGATCTCAACGCCGGTCCTCGAGATTGCTGTTTATGTAAATTTACTAGGTTTTCTTCATGTACCTACGCTTGTACCAAGTCGCAAGCAAACTGGCTTCCTGTAAGTGCTTTGGTAACAGGAGCGAAGCTGTGATATCCATAAGAAGCAACAACGGAGGTTACGCTAGGGCATCCTCTCACCCCTGAGTCAGACCTGACAAGCGAAATTAATGTTCTCTGTAGCAGCAGAATTAATTAAGGAAAATAAGAGACAGACGGGGAAAAGCCAGCTCTGCCTCCCTCTCCCACATCCCTTTGCAAACATTTCTCCCTTTTCTCCTAATCCTGAAACTCAGAGCTATATAATTAAAGAGATTTTCCTGGAAAAAAATGACCCATTGCTCAATGGAAGAGCTAAAAATAAGACAGAGGAGGCATAATCTACTCCAGCTATTGCTTATTCCGGTTGCGAGAATCAATGTGTTTGGACGCCGACCGTTTTTCCAAATGTTGAGACAGCCACAGAGATGCTGAAGGCTAGAAAATTCAAGGAAACTAGAACTGAGTTACCCCCTTTTCGACTCCTGTTATCTATACGACAATGAGGGGCTTCCAGGGTAGAGTTCCTATTGCTTAATCCAGCCATAGGAGAGATTGGACACCGATCGAGGGGATACAAAAAGGTTTTGGCCACCTTCCCCCCCCCCCCGATCCCAAATTCCTTTCAGGTGCTTTCAAAGGACCATCGAAATGCATGACTCCAAAGCAGAACACATTTCAGTTCAATTTGGACAGATCAAAAACTGCCTTGGCCTTCTGGCCTTCTTATGTCAGAGGATCTTAGTGAACAGAATAAAAATGATAACCACTGGCTCCAGGCAGCCCCCTCGCAAAGATACACACCTTCCCAAGCAAAGCTTGGGGGGAATGTTTCCTTTTAGATGATAATTCCCAGTTGCCTGGTAGTTCCGAAAAGTAACTTTTTTGAGCTCGCTCCAGAGGTCCCAAGCTTCTTGGATAGCAAGCCTTCTCCTTCCATCACCGTTTTGTTTTAGGAGACTTTTAAGAAATCAGAATATTTCACATAACCCAAATTCACAGCAAAGTCCTGAGAGGAAGAGAATCTAGATTTTAATTAGACATTCCAAGCTAGTTGAGGAAGATCTCTCTGTCCATCTGGTCATCTGTCCATCGATCCATCCATCTACTGCCCATCTTTCTTCCAGGAAAGGAACACAGTCTGCGTGTGACTCCCGTCTTGTGGAACAGAGTTAGGATTTTGTTTCCCGAAGTCACGATATTCGTATCCCCATTTGTACATGATGGATATTAAAGGGGAAAGGTGTGAGTCTGAGGAAGGGGGTTCATCTCGCAACCTAAAAATCTGGTTGTATGTTGCTCTTTGTTCCTCTCACTCCCACCATGATTCAGGAGTCCCCCAGCCACTTGGAGGTGGAACTTTTGAGGTGCAAGAGTCGAGATCCTGGCCTGGGGAAAAGCTAGAGTTCAGTCATAGATCTTGAAGGGATGTTCAAACCTCGGCATCTAGGTAGAACTGAGAAATATTTTCACCTGAAAAGCCAGAGATGCTACTGGAGGATTTAGAGGAGATCAAACAACAGTGGAGGATTTGAAGGCTGATTTTTCTGCTCCAGGATCCTCAGACAGCCACACAAAACTCCCCCTCTCTACCCCCGAAAAAGATAGAAAAATGAGAACATAGAAACCCAGAGGCAACCAGAGGTTCATTTTTTCATTTTGTTCCGTCCCATTTGCAGGGGATGGTTAAAAGAGAGTGTCTGCCTGCTGGAAGTAATTTCCCCTTTCTCGCTGAGGACAGCAATGTCAGACCAGAGGAAGGGAATCTGGTGTAGCAACGGCATGCAGACATGTTGCCCATACCTCTGTAGGCGTTACTGAGGAATAGCGAACCCACAAAGCCAAAGGCCACCTCCTGTGCATTCAAACCTCCCTCCTTCCATTTCTATCAAATTTTATGGGCCATTAACCAAGTTGTTTGGCCAGCTGCCACGGCTGATGACATCATTCCCCTTATGCAGGCGTAGCTGCACAACAGGATGGCAGCCATAGTTTGCAAACTGCTCCAAGGGTCTTGCTGGTTGGTCTGTACATAAATATTTTGGGTAAATAAAACAAACAAATTACCCAGCTATAACCCCCGTAACCCTGTTTTCCCTTCCAGCTACAGTTACTCTGTTAGTTAATGGTGGAAATCCAGTTGCTAAGCCTAGTAAGTTGCACTAGAATAAGTCCACTGAACCAGTGGGGATTTGGTGAGTCAACTCCCGTGCAATTCCCATCGATTTAAATGGGTTTACTCTAGTTGCAAGTTACTATGCAAAACAACAGGATTTCAGCCAATGTGAGGATGATTTAATGGTGCCCCCAAGTCCATCATTCTTTATAACCCTTTCTCATTGTTGTTTTCTTGACCATCTCCGCCTACCCAGGACCACGCTGATATCGAATGGAAGTTTGCACGCACAAAGCTATGGATGAGTTACTTCGACGAAGGGGGCACTTTGCCCCCTCCGTTTAACATCATCCCCAGCCCCAAGTCATTCTGGTATCTCTGTAAGTGGATCCACAAGGAGCTATGCCCCTCTCAGGACCCAGAGGACGACGAGAAGAAACACGAGAATCTGAAGACATTCACGGTAAGGAGAAAACTGGGGTCATAAATGCCATGGAAGAAACTCTGGCCTCACCTTCCTTGCTTTTCAGGGTCAAACTAGATGATAAGTTTAGGATTTTTTAAAAAAAGAAAAAGAAAAAAAAGGCTCCTATAATACTTTAAAATTCTATGGGCCTCTTTGCTTATGATTGATGAATCTTGCAAAAACAGCTTCACAAAAGAAGCCTTTTCTTATTTGCATTCATATACGAGACGTGAATATTATAACAACAACAAAATGCTACGATCTGTGTGCCCAAGCCCTCTGCAACAGCGCTGATGCAGGAGTCGTTTGTAGAATTTGCTCAGTTTGTAGAAATTGCAGAGTTTAATGTCCCTTTAGTTTGAAGGTCAGGCAAAATATCTCAGTATATTTTTCTCCATTGGCTTGGGTATCCATAATGCAGGAGGATCTTCTGAGTGGCCAGGAGCACAATATTTATTGAATATTTATTTATTTACTGGAAGGTTTATTTATTTATTGAAAAAAAAATCCACGTATAGCCAAAATCGTGCTATTCAGACCCATGCAATTCGAGGGAGGAGTGTATTTCTAAATGCAGGTTTTAGAGAGGGGAAAAAAAACATCCAGAAGCTTCTGTTTCTTTGTTTTAGGATGAAAAAGATTGTTTTAATTCAATGTTTGTCTCCTCCTGCCAAAGGAGTTAAAGATCTGCATACAGGGACAGCACACTGTGGTGCAGGACGTAATTTTCATGATCCTGCAGAGCCAGCGAAGCTGCAGAGCCGGCTAATTTGGTGTAGCAAGCTCAGCGCCTGGATCAGATCCTTAACACACTTAGCAAAAGGAAAACCGGCCGTCGCAAAAGCAAACTCAGGAGATGGAACTCAAACAGTCCAAAGAAAACATAAGCACAGATTTGGTTTGCCAGCCAGGCAGGTTTTCCCCCTTTCCTCCTTCCTACTTAACTCTTACGTACACTCCCATCTGCACTTCGATAGGGTCCGAAATCCTGTTCGTTAGATCTGCCAATGTATCGCAATAGGCATAAATACAGAGATAAAGAGATATACAGAGCGGAAAGAAGTTGAGAATGGTCTAATATACCAGTGCTCATTTTTCATTCCAGGAGCGTCACGCTGACAACTTGATCCAGAATCAGCATTATCAGGTAAAAGACATTCATTCTTCAAGCAATTCAATGCATTTTTTCCTCCTCTGCTTTCGGTTCAGATCTTGGGCAGCCAGTCAACAAGTATGGGGGGGGGCTGAATCCACCCCATGATCACCTCCTTTTCCCAAGGAACCATCAATGACCTCCAACTACTTGGAGGGTGGGGGAGGCTCAGACCTAAAATAAGATCTGGAGATATGAAAAAAATGCCTTTAAATAGCCCATTTGGGCCACAGAGATATCTGAAGACATGATTGGCCATTTGTTCATATGAGTGAGTGTGAAGATGCCTAGAAACCTCTTCTGATGGACTATAGTTTTCATTCTGACTTTAAGTCTATAAGAGATCCTTCCTTCCTTCCTTCCTCTCCCCTCTTTTCCTTCCTTCCTTCCTTCCTTCCTTCCTTCCTTCCTTCCTTCCTTCCTTCATTATACGTCGCTAGCATCAAGCATACATGTGTGGACGGATGAGTGTCTGCATTCATGTAGGGGCTTTGAGTTTCCTTCCTTCCTTCCCTCCCTCCTTCCTCTCCCCTCTCTTTTCCTTCCTTCATTCATTATACGTCATTAGCATCAAGCATACATGTGTGGACGGATGAGTGTCTGCATTCATGTAGGGGCTTTGAGTGGCTTGGACAGAGAAAGGTCTTCCTCTGCTGTCTTTCATTCTCTTTTCTTTGTGGGTGTGTTCGTGCCTTTGCACCACTAGCAAAGGGCCAAATTGTGCCTGTCTCTGTCCTCATCGGCCCAAAGCCAGTCTTCCCAGCTTTACTTCCTCAGCCTTTCCTGTAAAAACAAACAAACAAAACAAAAAAATGACACACCATTGTTTGAGCATGTTTATTTTTTTTAAAAAAAAAATAAGCAAACCAACTGGATCAGTATTTTTTGCAGAGGGTTCTTGGGGACCATAATGGAGTACTCAGGGTGTAACAGGGAGCCTACAACCTGCACTGTGCCCCCCCCCGGTAGCCTTGAGCGGGGGACCCTCCGGATTGTTTCCACATATGCTGTGAAAAGTGAACGGGAGCCGTGCTGTAAAAGCACTGCTTGCGGAAAAGAGGTTTCTGGTGGATTGGGCCCTACGGGATCAGCTGGAAGGCACGAACCTCCAGGCAGCAGGCGTGCCTCCTGTTCTTATGCCACAGAGAGATGCGTTCCCAGCCTCGTTAGCTTCCTTAGCGCTTTCCAATTAAAAGATTTCCTAAGATTAAAGGATTGTCGGTGACTGCCGTTAGCTCGGATGCAGGAGGCGGGGGCCTTGGAAAGAAACAGTTCGAAATATGGGAAGATCAAATGCCTTTTAAAGTCCCACTGTCACTAAATTACATTTATTTGTGGCGCAAATTGGGGTGGGGTGGAGGTGGGGAGGAAAAGGCTCCTTCTGGGCTGGCTGTGAAATGCTCCCTGCATCTGCAAGACGAGGCCATCGGAAGGTAGAGGGGAAATTGGTCTCATCGAAGGAGCCTATTTTATGCAAAAACCTTCGTAGTTTTATTGGTCACTTACACTCAATCACCTAGCCACTTAATTCACGCTAATAATCTGTTATCTCAGCTTGCCCAGTTGCATCCAGTATGTCATTACCATCCATACTCATCCATCAGATATCTTACTTCAAGTCCATTGAGTCGCTCCATATCCTCAATCCGGCCAAGACTCATTTCGGTTCATTTAGTAGTGATGTAAAATCCGTAGAATGATCGGGAATCCCACAGCAGCCAACGGGTGGAGGGGAGAAGGCGAGGAATGGAGGTATTGTAAAGCAAAGGGGGTAGGAGTGGGAAGCCCCCCCTCCTGTATTTTGGCCCTGGTTCAACCCACCACTAGCTTAGAGCCCTCCTTCTCACCCTGCCCCTATATATCCCCCCTCCCCGCCATGTGACTCTTCATTTCTTTCATTCTCAGAGGTAAGAATTAAAAAGTCTCAAAGGTTCTCTTTCTGCTGAGCGAGAGAATGAGATGTTTCGTGCCTTATTTTCATTTCAGGACTTCTTTAAGAATTCACAGGAGTGTTCATTGCACACCCAAAAAAGTACGATCTGCAAACAATTGTCCTCTTAGAAGAATAAAATGTCATCATTATTATTATTATTTTGCAAAATGCAAGTTTTTAATGCAAAGTAAAAGCATCCACAAAAGGGCATGTTTTGTGCAGAGCAAACCTTGCAGAAAGACTGCATTTTTTCAAGGCCAAGAAAACTTGTCACTATTCATTCCTTAGCAGCCCCCTTCCTCCCCACTCCCAAGTCACAGAACAAATTATCAATGCAGGAATGCTGCTGTAGTTAAAGGGTGGGGGAGGCCTTCATGTCATGCAACCTTCTCAGGTGTGTGTGTGTGTGTGTGTGTGTCTGTGTCTGTGTCTCTTTCTGCCCGTCTATCTGTCTGTGTCCTTCATGGCTTTTACCTTTGAAGGACTGGTTGACTGGTTTTTTAATTCCACCTCCCCACTCCCAAGTCACAGAACAAATTATCAATGCAGGAATGCTGCTGTAGTTAAAGGGTGGGGGAGGCCTTCCATGCAACCTTCTCGTGTGTGTGTGTGTGTGTGTGTGTGTGTGTCTGTCTGTCTGTCTGTCTGTCTGTCTGTCTGTGTCTGTGTCTGTCTGTCTGTCTGGTTGACTGTTTTTTTAATTCCATATGTACCAGCTTGAAAGTGACAGAGATACAGTGGTGCCTCGCTTACCGATCGCTCCATTGAGCAACGAAATCACTTTGCAACGCTGTTTTTGCGATCGCAAAAGTGATCGCTTTCCGATGTTTCCTATGGGGGAATTTCTGTCTGTCTGTCTGTCTGTCTGTCTGTCTGTCTGTGTCTGTGTCTGTCTGTCTGTCTGGTTGACTGTTTTTTTAATTCCATATGTACCAGCTTGAAAGTGGCAGAGATGCTCTATTTTTAAAAGCTTGGTCAAATCATCATCATCATCAGAATACACTTTGCAACGCTGTTTTTGCGATCGCAAAAGTGATCGCTTTCCGATGTTTCCTATGGGGGAATTTCACTTTGCGATGATTGCACGGAAGCGACCATCGCAAAGCCCCCTTTTTCGGCCAGCTGATCGGCGGTTCCAAAATGACCACCCACTGTGTTGCCTCACTTTAGAGGCACCCAAAATGGCTGCCGCAATGGAGGATCTTCGCATAAGGTCAGTTTTCAAGCCCATAGGAATGCATTAAACACGTTTTCATGCGTTTCTATGGGCTTTTTTAATTTCCCTTAGCGACAAAATCCCTTAGCGACGTTTTTCCTGGAATGGATTAACGTCGCTAAGCGAGGCACCACTGTACTCTATTTTTAAAAGCTTGGCCAAATCATTATCATCATCATCATCAGAATTGGAAGGGACCCTATGGATCATGGTGTCCAGCCCCTGTCAAGGAGGCCCAGTGAGGGAACCAAACTCCCAACCTCAGGCTCCATAGGTAGAGACGGAAACCACTGAGCTATGCAAAGAGTTTGCAGGCTTCTTCTTTCAATGAAGAGAGCCAAGAAATGTAAGAGGATGATTTAAACACCACTTGCAGACATGTCTTTTCAAAACCGTTGAGCCTCTCCTCCTGGCTTTCCTTTCAGGAAGTGATCAGAAACCTGGTGAAAAGATACGTGGCTGCAATGATACGAAATTCAAAAACTAACGAAGGGCTGACGGAAGAAAACTTCAAGGTAACGGAGCGCATGCACAGCAAATCTCCTGTCTGAAAATATGGCAGGCATAATGCAAAATAGTATGGAAATTGTGAACAGTGAAACTCTCTTACAAGTATATGCAAAAGATTTCTCAGGATTCAAACCCAGAACATGTTCAATGGATCAAACAAAATCATGAGAGCTGAAAAGTTTGGAATTTTTGGTTAAATTCCAATAGCGGCACAGGAGAAATGCAGGGATCCGTAGAGCAGAAATGTTTCCCAGAGTAATCCACCCCTTTTCTCATTAGTTGGCACTTAAAATCTCAGTAACTCATTATGAGATATTAAGTAAGAGAAAGAATAAAAATGTTTCATAACTTACAGTTGTGATCAAATCAACAGCATACTAATGAACTGACTGCCTTCAGCAACAGACTCCAACAAACTCTAGAGAAGGAAAGAACACTCAGCAGAGAGGCGGGTCTCTCTTTGCATTCAGAGGCAGGAGGGAACTATTGGTTAGCACTGGATAGATTGACAGTCATCCCTGCCTGGAAAGGTCCCTCCCAGCCACATCTTCTCTGGGCAGCATGCGAGGTTCTAAAAACTCCCAACCATTGGAATTTGAATGTTAAGAGACAGATTTTGGGATAGGGTGGGGAACTGGGAATGTTACTTTAATGGACAACATGTCCCAGCCTCTTCCCAGTTATATGAACCTTGGCAGACTCTGAACATTGCAATAAAAAGTCACTTTTCTATCCTTTTGCTGCAAGATACTTTTGTAGGGAGATGTCCTTTGCCAGCCTTGATGAGCCACCGAGGCCGGTAAGGTTAGCTGGAAGGCGAAGCAGGAGAGAAGGACAAAAATTGCACACGTTAACCTTAGCGATAGTATTTATTTCTCGGTTGACCATGCAATGACTGGACAGAGCAGTTTTGTTCCTTCGGTTCACAAAAATAAATAAATAAATAAGATAAAATAAGTTACCAAACTTCTCCCCCTTCCCACCCAGAGGCTAAGTAATGAAATATTTATTTGCAATTCTTATACACAGCGATTCGAGATAATTCGTTTGCATAGCTTTGAACACATGTCCCCAGACAGCATCCTTGGTTTCCTTCCCTCTTTGTTGCTGCGGAGTTTAACTCCTGCTTAAGTCTTCCTCTCTCTCTGTCTGTCCCTTTAGGAATTAAAGCAGGATATCTCCAGTTTCCGGTACGAAGTCCTTGACCTCTTGGGGAACCGAAAACCTCAACGGAGAAGCTATTCCACCAGCAGCACGGAGGTCTCCCAGAAGGACGAGGCCAACGACGAATGTGCCGGGGAAACGTCCAAAGGAAAAAGCTTTCCGTTCCCCAACAAGAAGAAAGACTTCAACGTCTCCGCGCTGATCAAGACCATGTCCGGCATGGAGATGGCGAACGAGAAACCGAAAAGCAACGGGATCAACAAGCGCTCCTTCGTCCGCAACGGGAACAGAGTTCAAAGACTTTCCAGTTCTAAGAAAGAGTCCTTCAAACGCCTGGGGCTCCTTTTCTCCAAGATGAACGGCCATCTTGCGGAACCCCACGCGGAGCCCATGTACACCATTTCGGACGGGGTCATTCAGCCGCATTATATGTGGCAAGACATTAAGTACTCTCAGAGGGCGAAAGAGCGAGGCGAGAACTGCTCCAGAAGCGAAATTAACCTCAATGAGGTGGACTACGCTAGGGACGTCAGGCATACTGGGCAAACCCAGTGCCCGGGGGTCTGTCCCAGCTCCCTTCACTGTGCTTCCAGCATGTGCTCTTCAAACTCCAAACTCATAGACTCCTCGGAGGACGTTTTCGACTCGTGGGGAGACGCTTGCGATATGTTTAGGAACCAATGGAAAGACGGGCAAGAGGAACAGGTGACCACCCGCCTATAAGTAGAGCTGTTCCGTCCCCTGCTGTAGAACAAGAGCCGACGACTCCGGGGCCCTGTTGGCTCTCACAGACTCCTCCTCCTCCTCATTCAGATCCCTCTCCCTCCCCTGCGTCCCTTTTGCCTCTGTTGATGAGCGTAGAACTCCAGTCGTTTTAGCCTGTTTTTATAAACACAGTGTCACATATTCTCTCTCCCCCCCCGGTTTGATCCCCAATTTGCTTTCTCAAATTCCTTCGGTTTAATCTGAATGGTCCAGTTCTGTGAAGACTAGAAGATTCTGCAGAATTTTCCTCATGGGTTTTGCTTTGGGTTCCTCCCTTCCTCCCTCCGTTCATCCCTCTCTTCCTTCCTTCCTCTGTTCCTCTCTCCCTCCCTCCCTCCCTTCTTCCTTCCACTCCTCCCTCCCTTCCTCCTTTCCTCCCCTCCATTAATATAAAAGGTTTGTTTGTTTTTTTACAGAACATTGCAGAACCTAATTACTCGTTCTCCAACCTCAACCCTGGTTAGCAGCTCTGCTTTTCATCATATTCTGTTCCACTTTTAGGCCATTCCCCGCTCTCTAGGATCTTCAGCAGTCGCTTGGCGGCTTAGTCGGAAACTATGAGCCAGGCTGAGCTACTGGCCAGGGAGAAGAGTTCCACTATAAATGGGCTTTTCGCTTTGAAGCAATACAACTCCCCATGATTTCAACTGTATGTCCTTTATTAAGGTTGCCTATTGTTTTCTTAATGTAAATTATTATTACCACAAGAAGTTAAAAGTTGAATTCTGGAACTTGGCTGTTTCTGTGCATTTAATTCATTCTCTCTCTTTTTTTTTAAATCCACACCCTCCTCTATCCTCTGTGATTCTTCCACTTGCTGCTAAAATTGTCTCAAAGATTTGTATACAAGCCCAAGCGCTCTTTGACCCAAATCACTCTAAGCATGTCTTGAACCCAAGCTCACCTCTATATCTCACTCACCTGCTTTTCTAGTTACTCAGTCAGGACCTTTATTGGCATACACACACACACACACAAAATCACATATACAGGATAACGCCAAACTATCAATCAACTGAATCTACAAATTTGTTACGTCTCAGTCTGCGGCGCCTCGTTCTCTGGTTCCGAAAGGCCACCACTTTCTCCAGCCAGACCATTCATAAGGTCCTCTTTGGACATGATGGCATCGGGGACCGTAAACATGCCTTGTTCCTTTCGTGGTTGCTTTCTTCCATGAGCGGTATTATATCTGAGGAGAAGCTTCTACTCACGTGTAGGATCTACACTAGAGACGGGCACAAACCAAACAATGGGCCGGTTTGCGGTTCGGTTCGTGCAACCCATTTGCCGAAACGAAGTGCCGAATCTTTTCAGCACTTTTCTTTCCTTCGGCGAAAGGGATGCCTGCCTGCCCCCATCCCGCTGCCCCTGTTGCCTTTCTGCCTGGTCCTGTTGCCTCCTGCTGCTGTCACCTGATGGGCGTGCACATGCGCAGAGATGACAGGCCTAGGTCGCCGGTTTGCGGTTCGGTTCGTGCAACCCATTTGCCGAAACGAAGTGCCGAATCTTTTCAGCACTTTTCTTTCCTTCGGCGAAAGGGATGCCTGCCTGCCCCCATCCCGCTGCCCCTGTTGCCTTTCTGCCTGGTCCTGTTGCCTCCTGCTGCTGTCACCTGATGGGCGTGCACATGCGCAGAGACGACAGGCCCAGGTCGTGGAAGGGAAGCCAGGCGACGAAGATGGTGACGACATCCCTTCCAATAGTGATGGCCCCAAGCCGTTTCCCAAGAAAGCAAAGAGTGCCATAATTTTCTGGGTTGGAATATTGTTTCACCTTTCAAGCCACTGAGATATGGTCTAGTTATTCTTGGAAAAACAAGATTCACCCAAGCTCTAGGATATTTGTAACACACCAACTCGCCATGCGCCCAAGAGACTTGACATCTCTCAGTACCATAGGTCTAGTTATTCTTGGAAAAACAAGATTCCCTCAAGCTCTGGGATATTTGTCGCACACCAACTCGCCATGCGCCCGAGAGATTTGACATCTCTCAGTACCATAAAATAGCAAAATTCCATACTTAAGCAGCACCGGCGTCCGTGCACAGAGGCAGAGGGGAGGTTACTCCCAACCAGTGTTGGAGAATTTGTGGTCCTTCAGCTGTCGTAGTCCATTTCCCAAAGGTGACAGCCACCATCACCATGGCCGATGGTGAGTAGTGTTAGAAGGAAGAGCTCATCAGCAACTCAAGGGATGTAGTTTTCAGCACCCAAGGAGCCTGTGTCTACAGAGGCAAAGGTTTCATTACCGCCCAAACCAGCATGGAAATGGAGCAGGTTGCTGGCCAAGGTGGACTCAACCAGAGTGACACTCTTAACAAGGCAGATCAGGTTTTGAACACATCTTCTCCTCCACTGACATCTTTCCAATCCATTTCAGCCCTTCCCCCAAAAGATTTTTAAAAGACATTTCCTTGCAATTATAGTAAATTGGGTCATTTCAACAGAGAAGTGCTGGAGACCATTCGAAGCACGGCAAAGTTGTCCACACACAGTCTAGTGGGCTTTTTGAGCTGAAAAATTTTCAAAAACGAGGGTTGATTTGGTGAGTGGGAGGGTGGGACTCCTGGGTACCTTATGGAGCTCACAGATTACATATTGCTCACCCATGATGTAAATCAAGGGAATATTGTGACAGGGGCTTTTACTTAAAAGCATCAAGGTAAGGAACCTATGATTTAGATTATGGGTAGACAACGTTTGCTCAGAAGGAGACAACCATTCCCGAGTAAGCCTTGGGAGAAGGTTACATGAATGGGAGGAACCAGTGGTGAACGGAACAACAGTGAGCGAACCCGGGAGAGACACTCACACAGCCACATACATGTGGGTACAAGGAGTGGGGCTAAAATTTCCTTGCACGTTGCAATAGTTTAGCTTGTGATTTCTTCTTTGCCAACACCAAGGAGGATAGCTCAGTGCTTTAGGCACCTGGTTGTGGAGTCAAGAGTTTGGGAGTTTGATTCCCTGCTGGGCCTCCAAGGAGAAAAGCCAACCTGTGTAGCCTTGGGCCAGCTGCACAGTCCCAGGGCACCCCCAGAAGAAGGAACTGGGAAACCACTTCTATTCTCTACCTGGAAAAACCCTGAAAAGGGGTCACCGTAAGTCAGAATTGGCTTGACAGCATGCAGCTGTTAACTAACTAGATAGCTCAGTGAGTTAGGTAGAGTTGGGATTCGATTCCCTCACTATGCAACCCATCCCAGAACCAGCCCGTTATTATGATTAACGCCAAGGAAGCAGTGGTTTGTTTTTCCTTGAGCAACTTGGCTGATCAACCAAACTGCAGGGAAGAATGGGCAGAACTCTGCAGGTGACACAGAAAATGCCTTAGGGACTTCCTGTGACCCCATGGCCTGGCCCAGCTAGGCTAGTCAGGTTGCCCAAGGTGGCCGGGTCTTCAGCTTACCTCTGGCCAAGTCAGCCGCCTGGAATGTAAACTGTTTTCTGGCTGGTATGCTTCCTATGTGGGTCAAGCTGTTAGCGTGCTCTTCGTAGCTCCCGCATGCCCACAGAGCAGAGACTCTGGGGTTTATTTTCATTCAGACGAGAACACCTGGGAGTCGTTCTAATAGGTGCTTTTATTTGCAGGCACCAAGGCAAGCCATGTCCTATAGGCAGAGAGAGAGAGAGAGAGAGAGAGAGAGAGAGAGTGCTCAGCTGCTAATCTTGCACCAGGTCCCCGGGGAATGAGCAGCTCAAGCATGCAAAGCTGTTCTCCCCGGCTGCCAAGGATTCCAGCTGGCACTGCGGGGCTCAGCTTTTGCTCCTTCTCTCTTCCAGGTGTCAGCTTTTACGGCCATCGCCCAAGCACGCCTGCGGAGAACCGATTTTATATTCTGTCCCAGATTACGAAGCAGCAAAAGCCGATCAAACCAGGTCTGAGCCCAGGGCCGAGGGATTCTCACAGTCCCTTGAACGAGTGTACATCCACTATGGAATGCGTTCAGTAACAAACTGCCCTCCATGAACTATTACGTGCAAATAACTGTAGGAGCACAACAGATAATAAACTGAAGGGCCAACAGTCTACGACGGTATGTGTGCAGATCTACAAGCTGCATATGCAATGGATGTGGTTGTGTGAACACCTCTCATGCATCACTAAGGACGTCCAACCTTATATTATAACTTGCCCGTCACACTCTGAAAATCCTCCTGTTAAAAACATTGTGGTCGTACTGTGGGAGAGCCACCTCCATGGCTGTTCTGAGTGCAATAGAGCGCATACAATGTGACCTTTCAGGTGACTCTACCTTGGAACAGCTCCACGGATCTCACCCTCCTGGGTGAACAAGGCATCCAATGGGTGGATGAGCGATAGATAGAATGGGCACAATAGGAATGTTGTCAACGCTCCTGAACATTGAATTATTTACCTCCTTGTGTCCTCAACCTGCGTCTGCTGCATCATGCAAGACCAGTGGAGCTTGGAGATTTAAGGCTTCTGCCAGCTGTCAATTCAGCATTTTGATTTTTTCGGTCCAGCAACCTTGCTTAAGCATCTGTAACTCCAGAACAACCACTTTCCAAGACTCTACCACTCTATTCCTTTTTCTTTTCTTTTCTTCTTTTTAATCCCATTCCTTCAGCGGCCCACTGCGAGGTTATATTTAAACAAAACAATTAGCAGGCTCGCTGTAGCGTGTGACAAGAAACTTTGGAACCCATTTTCTAATATGTTCTCAGGAATTAATAAACGCTGTCGTTCAGGAACAGATGACATGCTTGGTTTTAAATAGAGCGTGCACTCTGTTAGGACAAGAAGATTTTCCTTTGCTGCACAGGCACTGCAACGCAGAAAGTTCACTGTAATAAAACAAGGCACCACGTAAAAATCCGGGTGAGACAAAAATTGTGATGAGCATAAATTGTGAAATTTGACGGATGTACAGCTCCTCAACCCTCTCCATTTTCAGCACAATCTGTTGTTCAACTTTAATTTTGTGCATCTGCATGGCAGGAGAGGAAGCTGAACACGTTCCATATGTGTTGTCTCCGATGCATTTTTGGTATCACCTGGCAGGACAAAGTCCCAAATAGAGTAGACCTAGATCAAGCTGGAATTTTTAGCATATATACATTACTGAAACAGCGACGTCTACGTTGGCTTGGGCATGTTGTAAGAATGGCTGATGGTCAGATTCCCAAGGACCTCCTGTATGGAGAATTAGTGCAGGGAAATTGCCCCAGAGGGAGACCACAGCTGCGATACAAGGATATCTCAAGCGGGATCTGAAGGCCTTAGGAATTGACCTCAACAGATGGGAAACGT